CACACACACACACACACACACACACACACACACGGGAGGGGGGGGCAAGAGCATTCTCTCTAGTGTCTGTGTGTATTTGTGGGTGCATGATTTCTCTGTGTGTCTCTCTGTCTCTCTCACAAACTCACACACAAAATACACACAGGAGCAAGAGCATTCTCTCCTGTTGTGTGTGTGTGTGTTTCCTTGTGTGTCTCTGTCATGTCTCTCTCACAGGCTCACAGAGGCATGAGAGCATGCGCTGTCTATCTCTGTTTCTCTCACACAACACACACACACACACACACACACACACACACACACACTCCCTCATTCACGTCACCACCACCACTGGCACCCAGGAAAGCATGAGTCTTCCCAGCTCCCCACGCAGCCTGCTGAGCCATTTTCTGAGTAGGCTCCCCCTTCCCACCCCCCACCCCACTCGGCAACATTTCCAAAGGAGAGAATGAAGAATACATGCTCATTCATAACGCCCTGCCACAAATACTCTACATGGAGCCTGTGCCAGTCCCTGGGGATGCAGGCATCTAGAAGACAGAGGAATATGAGCTGCCTTCCAGCTTCTCCTGGGGAGCAGAGAGCCTGGACTGGAAACTGTACCCTACTCCACCCCCAGCCTCTCCATGATTGTGCCCCAGCCCCTGGACTACTGTGAACCTGGGGTTCTGCAGAGCCTCAACTCCCACTGCCACGTGGCACGTGAAAATCAAGAGCACCTTGTCTCTAGGGCAGCATCCCTCAATGGTAAGTTAAAGAAAGTCAAAGTGGGAGGGGTGGCTGGGGGCGGGGCCGGAGCTGAGAAGGGCCTGGCCCAGAGCCAGGTGCTTGTTCACTCTCAGCCTATGCCCTTTAGGTGCTGAGGTCCCTGACTAGGACCAAGAAGTGCCCATCTCTGCCCAGAAGGCAAATGAGAACAGGGCCTGGAATCTCTCTTGAGGGTGAGATGCAGAGTCCACACTCACCAGCCAGGGCTTCTGGCACAGGGGCTGGAAGTGTGGAAAGGGGACGCTGTATGGTACTGGTGTGGGGAGGGCAATGCCAGCACACAGAGCTAACTGCTGAGGGCACAGGCAAGCTGGCAACATGCAGAGTGTAGACCCAAACGGACTGGAGTCCCGAGTCCAGAAAGGAGGACCAGATGTTCAGAGTTCTGGAAGGAATCAGGGGAAGCTGTGTTGAAGAGGGGATGCCAAGTGGGTTGTAAAAGGGAGGTCGAACTGCCCCATGCCTAGGCAGGAGGGAAGGGATCCAGCAAAGGAATCACTCTGTGCCCCAAGATCTGTGATGTGGCAGGACCCACATGGTCACTGGTGCTCTACCAGTGACCTAAAGTCTGCAGGGCCATAGGGTGGAAGGTCTCTAGGACATACATGGATGGGCTTGCTCACAACTCAGCATGGGCAAGGAAAGGGTGATGTCACCAAAATGACAGACAGTGATTTGAACATCAGTGTGCATACAAGTGTGGGTGCCCCCCCAAATCTGTGGTAGAACGTAAAGAAAACTGTCAGACGGAACTAGTTCCCATAGAGTTTGAACAAACTTTCCCTCTGTCTGCACTGCCATTTCAGAAACAGGGGTCCCATGCTGGCCAGAAACCAAGGGCATCGGATAGGTTACAGAAATTAAAATGCCCAACCACGGTGCCTTTCCTCAAGACTTCTAGACTCCACCTACAGTAACTCAAGATGCCCCTCTACGTAGCAGAATTGCCCCCCAGAAGACTGAGTTGTTCTGTTTTTAAACTTTTGTTATTTTATTGGAATGTAGTGACAAACAAAAAGTATCGGGTGTCACCTTGATTTCTTCATACAGGTGTCATCGCCCCCTACCCCACCCCATACACAGTTTTGCATCTTGGATACACAGTTGCAGAAAAAATGGTGTTTGTCTGAGTCTGATGCACAAATATCTCTGTGGTGTGTAGAGTTAGAGTCTTTTGTGTCTGTGACCAAGAGTCGCAGAGCTGGGTCCTAGGGTAGTTCAATGGCTGTTTTGTGAGGAATCGCCACACTCATTCCCATCATGGTTCCCCGAGTTCACACTCTGTTCCCCTTTCCCTGTATCCTCATTATGATTTGTCCTTTGTTTATTTCACAGTGGCCATGCTGACTTGGGTCAGATGGGCTACAGCAGGCTTTGTATGTGATTTCCCTCTGGCTGAGGAAGTTGAGTACTGTTTCGAGTATTAATTAGCCATTTGTACTTAGCATCCCATCAGGTCTGTGGGATCAGACGATGGTGGCCATGGAATATTACATGCCATCACATGGACCTGTCACAGCACCCCAGTTTGCCTTGTTTATACAAGGCTTTCTATGTGGCTTTCTCTAATGGCAGAACCCACACAGGATAGGACAACAGGAACTTGAGAACGGGACATAGTCCCTGTGGGCCATGAGGCAGGACTTTCCATCTCTGCCTGAGAAGCTGGGACACATATAGGATCCCTGCCCTCTGGAAAAGCCCAGCTCTCTGCACCTAGCAGAGCTTGTACCAGCAGAGGCAAGGGTCAGGAACCTAGGGCTTGGGAGTCAGGTGCAACCCCTAGTGGTCTGGGGTGGGATGCTGGCAGACAGAAGGGACAGATGAGCCTTGCCTCACCTTGTCAGGTGTCTATCCTAGAGGGGCAGCATGGGTAAAGCCCTGATTGCTGGGTGGGGCTTGATGATAAGACGGTGTGGTGTGGCCACAGCAGAGGATCTTCTCTTCAGGGGAGCAGGAGACACATGAGAAGGAACAGCAATGGGAGGATAACCACAGGGCCAGGCTTCCACAAACTCCTACTCTGCCTTTGTAGATCACTGACCCACACATGTCAGTGCCATGGCTGGAGAAACGGCTGCAGAGGACTGTCACCAGTGTCTGCAAATCTGTCCCGGAGACAGTCCTTAAGATCCCCAACCACAGTAACGGGACCGGTACAGTGACTACTTAAGATCCCCAACCACAGTAAGGAGACAGGTACAGTGACTACTTAAGATCCCCAACCACAGTACCGGGACCGGTACAGTGACGACTTAAGATCCCCAACCACAGTAAGGAGACAGGTACAGTGACAAGGACAAGAGCTGGAGACTCTGTCTCAGTCATTTCTCTGCAGCCTCCATAAAGTCCCACATTCTTTTCGACACTTCTTGAGTGCTCATCCCACCTGTAAGCAGAAGTGTTCAGAATACTAATCACTTTGACAGGGCTAAAGACAAAGAGCCCTGTGCAGTGTCCCTGGAGGGAGGACAGGCCTTTCAAATGGGAGGGAGGGCCACTGATGCCCCTCATTTCATGATTCACAAGGATTCCTGGAGAGACATATTGGCTACGGTGTCCTCCCCTAGGCAGGCTGTCCCTGTACTCAGCGAGATTGTTCTCCACTGAGAATGTGACCATAGACTTGTCAGAAAACATGAAATATGATGAAGGAAGAGGCAAAAGAAGATGATTGGTGGCACAGTGTTCTAGGGTCCAGGAGGCTGCAGAGGAGCACCATGGAGCCCAGGGAAGGCTTCTCTGAAGATAATGAGCTGCCAGTCTTGCATGGAAAACCTGCCCAGCAGAGAGAGCTGTAATGTACGAGGTCACTATGGCAGAAGCCTCCGGTGCTAGTGGGACCTACATGGAGCCTGCCATCCATAGAGCCTGGAGCTTAGTGTAACAGGGGGAAGAAGGAAGGAACTAGGGAGGAGGGGCCAGGGGTGAGCAGCTCTCCCCATCAAGTCTTGTTCACACTGGTGTGGGGAAGGAGGAAGATCCGTCAGACTAGGCAGTGTCTAGGGCCACACCAACTCATTTCTCTCTCTCTCTCTCTCTGGCTGCTGTGTGTGGGCAGTTTTGCTGATGTGGAGGGCACAAAGATAAGCAGGGAGCCAAGTTGCTATGGGCCTGCCTCCTGACAGTCTTTCCCCCATGAGACTGCAGTATGTTGTTCCAGACTGAAGCAGAGTCTGTGGGCTAATGCATGGATTCCCAAGGAATTTTACAGTAAAGGAGGCAGCATGCACTAGTGCCTTAAAGGAGTCACTGACCAAACCTCAGAAGTGCCGGACAGTATTTGTGAGTGATGGGTCAGTCCACAACACTGTGCCTTCCTCTTCTTTGTGACTCCCCCATCAGTCTTCTCCAAAGGATAATGGATAGCGAGCATTGGTCCAAGGATGAAGGTGAAACAGTGTTGGAAAGGCATCGCCGTATCCTCCCTCTCCATATGTACCTGGAGACACCATGCCGTGTCTAGGCAGTTTCTGTGGCCACCGACTATCAAATGCCAGGGGAACTCTTAAACTCTACTGCCCTTGTGTTCCCTGCATCCCCACCATAGTCTTCTAACAGGCCACTCCTTTCCTCCAAATTCCCAGCTCAACTCAGTGGCCAGATTCATCTGTAAAGGTGAATTATTACATCCTTGGCCTGGCCTTAAATGGTCAGAAGGGCTGCCTGTTGCACTTTGACTCAGTGCAAACTTCTTGGCAAGGCTGAAATATGATGAACCCTTGCCAAAGGACCCCCTTCTGTCCTCTCAATACCCTGGCCAACTTGAGCTCTGGGAGAATCCCATGACACTGCTCTCGGCTGTGAGCCCTGCTCTTCCTGAGGGCTCCCACCTTCTTGAAATAGTAGACAACTTTTAAAAATTAGATTGTTACAACGAGTCTCAGAATACGTGCTCAGGCACCTGTCAGTCAGAACAGAACAACAACAACAAAAACACTTTGTTTTTAAGTCCAGATGTTTTGGTCCTGTGGGATGACAAAAGATAATAGCTAAACAATCAAGTTACTACCCCCTTTGTGACTCTTTGCAATTCATTCTCCTGGGCTGTTTCTTTTCTTTATTTTATTCATTTTACATACCAACCACAGATCCCTGCCTCATCCCTCCTCATGCTCCCCGCCCCGCCTAGCCTACCCTGGCCCATCCCTCCTTCCCTCCTCCAAAAGGGTAAGTTTCTCCTATAGGGTTTTCCCATGAGGGGAGGGACAGCTAAGTCTGGTACATTCAGTTGAGGCAGGACCAAGCCCCTTTCCCCTTCCATCAAGGCTAGCAAGGTGTCCAAACATAGGCAATGGGATCATGCACCTGTTCATCACCGCCAGGGACCCCTCAAACAGAACCAGCTACACAACTGTCTCCCATATTTTGAGGGTCTAGTCCAGTTCCATGCAGGTTCCACGGCTGTCTGTCTAAAGTTCATGAGTTCCCACGAGCTTGGTTCAGTTGTCTCTGTAACTTTACCCATCATCATCTTGATTCCCCTTGCTCACAGAATCCCTCTTCTCTCTTCGACTGGACTCCAGGAACTCAGCCTGGTGCTTGGCTGTGGATCTCTGCATCTGCTTCCATCAGTTACTGGATGAAGGCTCTATGATGACAGTTAGGGTATCCACCAATCTGATTACCAGTGTAGGCCATTTCTCAGACTCTCACCACTAGTGCTAGTTTGTCTAACCTGGGGTCACACTTGTGGATTCCTGGGAATTTCCCTAGCACCAGGTTTCTCCCTTACCCCATAATGTCTCCCTCTCTCAAGGTGTCTCTTTCATTGCTCTCCCACTCCATCCCTCCCCCACCTTGACTATCCTGTTCCCTCATGTTCTCATCCCCCATCGCCTCCTCTCTATTGTCCCCGTCATCCCCAGTTTACTCATGGAGATCTCCTCTGTTTCCCCTTCCCCTTCCCAAGGTGATCCTTAAGTTCCTCTTAGGGTCCTCCTTGTTTCCTAGCTTCTCTGGAGCTGTGGGTTGTAGTCTGGTTACACTTTGCTTTATGTATCTAGTATCCACTTATGAGTGAGTACACACCATGTTTGTCTTTCTGAGTCTGGGGGTGGCTCAGTGGTTAAGAGCACTGACTGATGTTCCAGAGGAACCAGATTCAGTTCCCTGTTCTGTGTTTCATGGAGTGGACCCTGGGTCTCTTCTGGGTGTGTCTATAGTGAGAAGTAAGATCTTGGTCTATCACTATCTAATCTTCCTAATTCTTTTCCTCTTTCTTACCCTCCTCTCTTGTTCTCTCTCTGTCTTCCCTGCTCGACCCCCTCCCTGAGGTTGGAAACCCCTTTGACTCTTTGGTATTGGTCCTGCCTGAGCAGCCAGGGCTCACAAAAGGATGACAGCCTCGGGGTGGACAGAAGATATGAAGAAGCATGTCGTTCTGGCAGCTCTAATGCACTGCTGACCACCTGCCACCTGAGGGCATGGAGAAGATGGACCTGGGAACAAAGCTGACTTGGCGGCAGGATCATAGAGGCTAAAGTGTAACCACTGTGCACTTGATTTCCTTTCTGAAGTTGGAATTTTGGAAACTCTCCAGATGGCAGTTTCCTTCAGGACGGTCCCTTTGCCCAAACCCTGCTTCGAAACCAACAGCAAAGAGTGATCAGGACTGAGGGTTTTGTCACAGCTTCCCCCATATTCTTTTTTCTCGGGTAACCAATTCACCTTCCTTCGCATGCTTCCAGGTGTCCCTGGGCCTGTCTGTCATAACCACAGGCAATAGGAGTGATCACTTAACAGTGTACCTAAGATGCAGCAAAGGCCATGGCTTTGGAGAGGTGCTTACCTTGGACATGTTACTGTATGCTCTTTGCTTTTCCTTACCTTTGGAGTCCTGGGCTGTACAAAGAGATATCTATGAGCATGAAAAGTGGTCATGTGCGGCCAATGTTTTTCACCAATGCCTGGCATGCAGTCAATGCCCAATACAATAGACTGTTTATTAATCTCATCTCCCTCTCTCCTGAGGATGTCTTGTTCATCTGGTTTTCGAAGCCAGTGACTTTTCTTTCTGGCACCCCAGGATGTCTGGAACTTTCTCTCTGACCAGGATCAAAGTGTCAGCACAGAGGGAGTCTGACCTCCTGCCTTCAGTCCTTGGTCAAGGCCACATTTCACTCCAGGCCACTGCCTGTTTCTCTGGCCTGAACTCACTTAGCTAACCCCCTCTGTGGAACTTTTCCCAACCAGAGCTACTTTAGGATCCACTGATCCCCCACCCCACCCCAGGGTGTCCAAGGCTTTTGCAAATGAGCATTTGAAAGCCTGGTGCTTTTGTCCTCAAGCAAAGCACCCAACAGGTGTGAGCTACCCAGTTGCTCCAAAGAATGTGTATGGGTCAGGAATGTTTTCTGTCTTCTCTTTCAGAATCTCACTGGGACACATCTGGACACACTTCACAAAAGGTCATGCTTTGCTGCGGTGCAAATGCACTGGGTGCCTCTTGATGCTGCCATGTCATCCTTGCCGCAATATCACCGATGTCTAAGACTATGAAGTGACAGTTCATGGCTTACCAAAGTGTGAGTACTGTAGGTTGTTGTTCATTTCAGGTTTGGGTCTGCCTAACAGACAGATCCTCGACTCTCCCACAGTGTGGTGAGGTCTCAGTCAGTCCAGATGAGGAGCCTTTCCACCTCCTCTCTCCCTGTATTGTCCAGAAGGCAGAATGATAGGAGGTGAACTCTCTTGGGAGTGTGTATCTTATCCTTTTTTTGTCCAGGGATCTTCTGAAAGGTGAGTTTAATTTGGACTCAATGCAGCAATCACCAAATACACTTTCTGTATCTGTCTCCTACACATGCAAGTCCTCAGAGGGCAGGCAAACTAATATCATTAAATATTCAGCCTGTAACCAACCGCCTGTGGAACTGGTGTTCATACCATCTCTCCTTTACCTTTGACAACATTTTGGTATCGTGTCATTCAAGCACTGGCCTGAGTGCAGAATCTGGGATATGATTCAACACAAGGCATTCTTGTTCCACTGCTGCTGGTGGAGACCATGTTCTTCTGCTCTGTAGGAACCCATGCTGTCATTACAAAATCACAGCTGCACAGGCAGTTAATGTTTACCAGCCCCCCAGAACCCAGGTATTCTGGGCTACAGAGAACACAGGGAGCTGTAGTGTTGTTCTGCTTTTCTGTCCTTACAAATCCCCAGTTGGCCCTTTCCATGTCTCCTGCTTATGGATCAAGATCCTAGCTCCCAGCTACTGCTCCAGCGCCATGCCTGCCTGCCTGCTGCCATGCTCCCCACCGTGATGGTCATGGATTCACCCTCTGAAACTGCAAGCAAGCTCTAGTAAACGCTTGCATAAGTTGTCTTGGTCATGGTGTTTTCTCACTGAAGTAGAAAAGTAATCAAGACCCCTCACACACACCTTATTAGTAGCCTGTCTGTATTTCTCATTTGGAAGCCGCTTTCTCTTTGTGAGCCTTTCCTATAGTTTTGCTTGGAGTTCATTCACTTCCCAGAGCTGTGGTTTTCTCATCCTGCCCCTTGTTTGTACCATTTCTAACACAGTTTCTTCTGATGGTGTTGCAGCCCTCAGTCCCCCCTTTTTCCAGAGACAGCAATGGCAGACAATTCCTGCGACTTCCTGTTTCCCCACTGGTTAATGAGTTTCTAGGAGGTTTTTCTTCCCTTGACTTTTTGAGGCTGTATTGAGATATTTCTGATACACAACAAAATGCTCCTATTTCAAATATGCCACCGGGTAGGTTCGACAAGTGACACCTAGAGTGTTCACTGCAGCTACGAACATGTTCTCAAGCCCTTAGCAATGCTTCCCTCTCCCTCGCCCTGACACTCTTTTCCCTGTCTCTAGGCAAACACAGATACGCTTTTGGGAAATGAGAGCTTCTTTGTATTTTCTGGAATTGTGCACAAATGCTGATTGTCAAATCCTCACAGAGACACACATCCCACAGTATGGACCTTTTGAAGCATCTGGCTTCTTTCAATCCTAATAGCAATTCATTTTGAGAGTCTCTTATTTTGCTGCCTTAGCCAAGGCTCTGTCTGCTGTCTAGTGTTTTCCTGCTTAGTTACCCAGCAGCTTGTCCATGTGCTCAGCCTCTGATGGACATTTGGAAGTTTCTAAGCTGTGGCTACTTTAAATCTTTAAATCAAGCTTTTATGCACATCCATCCGCAAGATTTCTTGATGAATGCTTTAACTTGGTCTTGGAAGACACTTATGCATAGATTGATTGTATTGTATGGTCAGTGTGTATTCAAGTCTTAGTAGAATGCCATGCTATTTTTCAATGTGGTTTGGAAAATGAGCTTTGCTAACTGATCTTCTAGTTAACTATTCATTTAGCCTCACCTGACCCTCTATATCCACAATAACTTTTATTACTACCAATTTGATGATTAGCAAGCAGAGCTCAGAGCAGCCATCCTTGTAGTGCAGTGGTTCTCAACCTCTTCTTCTCATCCACTTTGGGAGTTATAGGACCCTTTCCCAGGGGTCACCTAAAACCATCATAAAACACAGATACTTACATTTGATTCATAATGGTAGCAAAATTGCATTCATGAAGTAGCAATGAAAATAATTTTTTGGTTGTGGGGGGTCACCACAACATGAAAAACTGTATTAAAGGGTCTCAGTACTAGGAATGTTGAGATCCACTGCCTTCACCTATTAATTTTGCAATATGGCACAAACTGCACTTACGCAAACCCTTCAGTAAGAAGAATAAACTGAGGAAGTAATGATCTTTGTTCTTGAAATTTGATGAATTGAAAAACATCTTGTGCTTAGGAAATCATGTCATTTTTTCCAGAATCCCTCACTGGTCTGTGATGATCCATGTCATAAACTATCCTGAATCAAGGTGTCTATGGTTGCTTTCTCCACAAGCGCTATCTCATACTGATGATGTCTTTCCTTTACCACCACCTTGCCTCTGAGCCAATTTGTCTCTGTCATGTAGTGGCAAGTCTGATGAAGTGTGTGGTTACAAATTGAGAGCTAGCTAGGAACCTAAAGCTCTTCCTGGGGTTAGCTAGCCAAAATTGGCTATCCTTTTGGTAAACCCATAGCATCTTCCAAGGCTGCCTGCCAGAGGTAGCTGAAATGGGAGGTGTATGAAAATGGGTAATGGAGCAGAGTGCTGAGAGGGAAGAAATTAGCCCCAACTTCAAATACCATTAGCATATGACCTTGAGTTTTAATTCTAAGCAATACATTTTTTCTACCCATGGGCCTGTCCTTTCCAATTGAGGCACATGATAGTGGCTTTGATTCTGTTTAAGTGTCCACAGTGGTGACACTGGATAATCTGAATATAGAAATGCATTTCATTCATTTCATAGGAAGAGCAATAGGAGAAAGGGGAGGGGAGTACTGGGAGCCCTGTTTATTAATTATGAAACTATGTTCTGTTAACTTTGTGGTCAGGTAATGATCATTCAGATTGGGGTGTGTGTGTGTGTGTGTGTGTGTGTGTGTGTGTGTGTGTGTGTGTTTGTATGTGTATGTGTGTGTGGTATTTGGGATTTTTTTTAAATCCAGGGTCTCACCTATGCTAGGTTAGCACTTGTCTTAGTTACTATTTTACTGCTGTGATGATACAGTATGACCAAGGTAACTTATAAAAGAAAGCGTTTAATTGGGAAGTTCCTCACGGTTTTGACAACTGTGGTGGGGAGCATAGCAGGAGGCAGGCAGGCGTGGTGTGGAGCAGTAGCTAAGAGTTGTGGCAGAGAGAAGAATGGGCCTGGCATGGGCTTTTGAATCCTCAAAGTTAATCCCCATCCCCAGTGTCACACCTTCTCCAACAAGACACACCTCCTCATCCTTCTATATTGGTTGGGGTTCTCTCTGGAGGAACAGAGTTTACAAAATACACACAGAGAGAGAGAGAGAGAGAGAGAGAGAGAGAGAGAGAGAGAGAGAGAGGATTTATTAGAATGGTTTACAGGCTGTGGTCCAGCTACTCCAACAATGGCTGTCTACCAACAGAAGGTCCAGGAATCCAGTAGTTGTTCAGCCTGTGAGGCTGGATGTCTCAACTAGTCTTCAGTATATGCCAGAATCCCAAAGAAGTAGCCTCTAACACCAGTGAAGGAATGGACTTGCTAGTGAGGGTGAGAGCAAGCAGGCAAAGAGAGCAAGCTTCCTTCCTCCATGTCCTTTATGTAGTCTACCAGCAGAAAGTGTGGTCCACATTAGAGGTGCATCTTTCCACCTCAAATATCCAGATTAGAAGTGGCTCTTCCCACTTCAATTGATTTAATTAAGAAAAAAACTCCCTCACAGGTGTGCCCAGCCATTTGGGTTTTAGTTAATTCCAGATGTAGTCAAGTTGACAACCAAACCATCACACGTTCCTAAACAGTTCTACCAACTGGGAATCTGTATGTGGAAGCTTGCAAAGGTTTCCTAGTTAGATCCCAGCTTGCTTTAACAGCAGGGCTGCATTAGGGAATGGCTTGACCATATGCATGGTTGACAGGTGTCTGAGTTGGCCTGCACTTGGCTGGGCTGGGGGGAGGTCTTTTGCTCCACCCCTTGGTATTCCTTTAAAAGCCCTTTAGTAGAGACAGTCAGGGCCCGATGGATTAGGATCCAGGCCTTCCTTGTGCCCATGGAACCAAAGAAAACCTTTCAGAGCTTGCAAAAAAACCGCCTGTTCACCACTGCTTCACATTCTTACCCAGTCTTCAGAGCTTATGGGTCTCAGTCCTCTGAGAAAACTTGGGCCTTTTGCAGCTCTCCTCTCTCTTCTAGATTCTGTGTCATCATCCTCCAGAAAAGTTTCATTTGCTTTCTCTTTATCATCAGCTGCAATTCATGTCCCAGGCACTAGTGACTAACAATAATGTCTTTGTCCTTAGGTGGAATGGAGCTCAACCCTACAATCCAGTTCTCTGGACACCATCAGGCATCACAAGCAGCTGCAACCATTTTGTGTCAAAGTTTGTGCTCTCACCTCTGGTTCTGTAGCTATCTTGGATATCTGGTCTGTTGTCTACCTGACACCATCAGTTTAATACCCTCTTTTTTTTCTGTGAGCTTTTAATTAGTTTCTGATGCTCCAAAACAGTTGACTGACATTTTGGTTGTTTCTTCTCTGCCTTTGGAGCTCCTTCCTTTGCCATTTTTCTGCTATCTATGTCTTTTGCTGAATTTTCAATTGTCATAACTTGAAACTATGAACCTCCATTCATTGTTGGGAAGGAAAATGGATCTGGCAGTAAGTGCACCCTCAGTTGGACAGTTGTCTGCCTTGAGTCTGCATTGGTGATGGTGAAGCATTCAAGGCTGCAAGCTTAGCCTATGACTTTCATGCTGTTGTTAGAGAACTGGGAAGGGAATAAGGGGAATGTTATCACATTGTATTAGCTTTTGTGTGTAGTCTTGGTGAACCCCAACTGCTTCTAAGGCACAGCAGGAGGGTCTGGGACCAAAGAGAGTTTTGCAAGACCATGGATGCTAAGTGAGGCACCTGATCTCTGATGGTAAGCGAGGTCTCCCAGCTTACCACACATCTAAGCCTACTGCCCTCTCTTTTCTTAAGCTTTGTGTTTGGGACACCCCTTCTTAGAATCTACTGCGTGATATTGCTGACAGGAGATTACTCCGCTGTATGCTGATTCCTCGTGCTGATCTGTTAGCCTCAGAGCTGCCATCTTTGTCCACCAAGATCAGGTGTTAGTGGCACCCAAACAGTTGCCCCTAAACACATTCCATCTATGTATTTGATTATGGAAACTCTGCTGAAAGTGGTTGTGGCTTGTGTTGGTTAATTTTTGTCAGCTTGAAACAAGCTAGAGTCACCTGCAAAAGAACTACAATTGAGGATTTCTCTCCATCAGACTGGTCTGTGGGAATGCCTGTAGGACATTTTCTTCTTTGATGATTGATATAGAATAGCCCAGACTACTGTTGGTGATGTTGTGCCTGGGCAGGTGGGACTGGGCTGTATAAGAAAGCAAGCAGAGAAAGCCAGGGGATGCAAACCAGTAAAAAGGATTCTTTCACAGTCTTTAATTCCATTCCTGCCTCCTGATTCCTGTCCTGGGTTGATGTAGATTATAACCCTTGTTGATAGATTACAACCTGTAAACTAAACAAACCCTTTATTTCTCAAGTTTCTTTTGGTTGTGGTGTTTATCACAACAACATAAAGTAAATAAGAACAGAAATTGGTACCAGAAGAGTGAAGTTGTTTCTGCAATGGACCTGACCATGTTGCATTTGGCATAGACTCTTGTGGGAGGAAGGTGGAGAACTTGAGGCTTTGGGATATAAAAGCCATTTGAGTACTCAGCTTAACTGGCTCTTCTTTGGAAGCTTGGGAGATAATTTGAGACAACTTAGATGAAAGAAGCATAGTTTGTCAAATGTCAGATGGAAGTTTGATAGTTCCTCAAAAATTCTATTCATGGTCCATTCATGTGATATATTTGAATTAAGAAGCTGTGGTTTCTCATTCCCAGCTGTGGCTGAAAAATCAGCTGCAATTAACAAGAGTCCAGCACCATTGAAATGAAACCTTTGTTTTACTGTCACACTTGTTTACGTGTGATGCTTGTTAGGTGGGGCTGAGAAGTGTTTCCCCAGGGTTAGCACACAGAACCGTGGTTCAGAGGGGGCCAAAGCTGCATCTTAAACTGGAAGTCAAGCCTGAAAATATGTTAGTGTGTAGCTGGAGAGCGTCTCTCCAGGTCCCACCAAGCCCCCGCAGTCCCACAGCCCATGTATAAAATAATCACACAGATGCTTATATTACTTATAAACTGTATGGCCGTGGAAGGCTTCTTGTTATCTACTTCTTTTATCTTAAATTAACCCATTTCTATTAATCTATACTTTGCCATGTGGCTCATGGCTTACCAGTACCTTACATCTCCCTTGTCATGGTGGCGGCTGGCAGGTCTCTCCGCCTCAGCCTTCCTGTTCCCTCAATTCTCCTCTCTGTTAGTCCTGCCTATACTTCCTGCCTGGCTACTGGCCAATCAGTGTTTTATTTATTAACCAATCAGAGCAACACATTTGCCATACAGAACATCCCACAGCATTAGAGTCTCCCCATGTGGTACTGGTTTTGAAGGAACAAAACAGTCACGATGAACAACAGCTAAGACTTGGCACTGTAGATGGCCACTGGTTAACGTTTAGCTTCAGTTGTTGTGAATACCCTGGGATATTGGAGATTCCAGGACCATAGAACAACCACCAAAGGCAGTCAGTCACAGGTGTAGAATGGAGCTGTCCCTGCAGATGGTAGAGCTGGAGAAGTAGGACTACAAAGCCTTTTAAAGTCCAGAAGACCATGAGTGAGTTCCAGATGTCAGACATAAAGTTACAGGATTTTAGACTTTTGACTTTCTTTAGTGTGATTGTTCTTCTTCCCTGGTTCTTCACTTTTGGAGTAAGAAAATATATAATTTATTTTTTCTTTTACATGAACCCACAGTTAAAAGACTACAGATTTTTTTTAATGATAACGAACTTTTAAAGTGTTTGAGTTTTTAAAGACTGTAGGCTTTTAAAGTTATATTGTGTTTATATTGTGATATTAGCATGAGATTTGAGGGATAAACAAGTAATGAATGGCTATTGTTTAATAGTGGTGTGTTTGTGTGTCAAGTTGGCAAGACTTTAAATGTGCTGATCAGTTTTTGTCAACTTGACAGAAATTAGAGTCACCTTGGAAGAGGAAATCTCAACTGAGAAATTGCCTCCACCAGACTTGTCTGTAGGCATATCTGTAGATCATTTTCTATATTGTTGATTGATGCAGGAGGGTCCAGCCCACTGTGAGTAGTACTCACATTGGGTAAGTGGTCCTGGGTTGAATAAACACCTGGGTAACTGAGCAAACTAGGGGAAGCAATGCCATACACAACATTCCTCCATGGTTTCTGCTTCAGTTCTTGCCTCCTGGTTTCTGCCTTGAGTTCTTGTCTTGGCTTCACTTAATGATGGACTATCACCTGTAAACCTCCCAAGTTGCTTTTGGTCATGGTATTATCACAGCAACAGAAAACAAACTAGACTATGACTGCTTAAGGCCATTATTCAGTTACTCCTGGTGACCTTACATATATTCTTTACCTGTATGTCAAACAGCAGTACTACTGGAGTGACACCCTTGTTGGTATCCTGAAAGGACCACTAGTGTGTGGCTCCATTGTGAGTTCCTAAATCCACTATTACCCTGTCCAGAAAGCTCTGCAGGCTCCCTGCCCAACCTAACCCAACACTTCTCCAAGATCCTAATGCTGTGTGTTCCTCTTTCTCTGAGAACCCATTTCTCTAATCCTAGGCTTCAATTCTCTCATTGTTAGCCCAGGGCTTCTGTAGTGGTTTGAATGAGAATGGCCACAATATACTCATATATATATATACTTGTTTTCTCAGTTGGTGGAACTGTTTGGGAAGGATTAGGTGGTGTGGCCATGTTGGAGGAGGTGTGTCACTGGAAGTACGCTTTGAGGTTTCAAAAACCTATGCCATTCCCAGTTTATCTCTCTTCCTTCCAGTGGAGGTTTAAAATCTGAGCTCTCAACTCTTCCTGCTGTCATGCCTTTGCTCTATCATTGTGGAGTCTAACTCTCTGAAAGTGTAAGTTGAACTAAATGTTTATCTTATAAGTTGCCTTGGTCATGGTGTTTTGTCATAGGAATAGAACGTTAACTTAGATAGCCTCCTTCCTCATTGTGTCCTCCTACCAGTACCCCCTTCCTCCTATTTGCTCAGATGTCCTATATATCTCACACTTCTTCAAATCCTGAAGTATTTCCCAAAATCTGGTGGAGGAGTAAATGCAGCACAAATGCAGTCTGTCACTAATGATGCTGGCAAGGTCTAGACTCCAGACTCTAGAGTAGCCTATTTGGAGATCCCATTTCCTTCTCTTGTAGCCGGGGATTATCAGATAGCCAGTTTGTGAGGCAACCAAGGTGTAGGCCACATTTGTGGCTCCTAGCCCCTACTCAGATTGTGAAGTTTATAACTGGGCTCCAGGTTCCTAGTTAATCACAATATGTTGCACTCTACCCTTCCTTCTGCAGAAAATACGGGTGCCTTGTCCGTCCTGATCATTCAGAGGGCCGCTGTCCTCATAGATCCTTGAATATAACCTTCTTTTATAAGGTAAGAAAACGTCTTGAGAGATCCGATGGATGATGCTTCTGCAAAATACAATGTTTAGTTGGGTTTCTGTTTAATAGGGCATTTGCTGACAGAGCATGTCATAGTGTCTGCTCTGTGGTTGAGGGCAATTCCTCACAGGAATGGTTTCCCATCAAGGTCCACCCTACCCTTCCTTTCTCCCTGGCATAGTGTTTGGGACTAGCATCAGATAAATCAACAAATGGAAAGTGATCTCATTGCCAGGAAGGCAACGACTATAATGCTATGAAAATATGGACCCTGTGGTTGTCTGGTTGTCCACTAAATAGAGGTCTCAGGAAGGTGTAGGCACCTGGGCTGAGAATGCAGATGTGAGCAAGAGCACTGCTAAGTGCAGTGCATGACAGGGCAACCCTTGGAGCCTGTGACCAGTTGAAATACTACATGCAGTACCTGTGCCTGGAACTAGACTCCTTCCCAGTTCTTAGTCCTGTTCTTTTTCCTCTGCAGCCCTCCAGATCCCTCCCTAGGGTTTTCCTGTGGCCTAAGAGCCCCTTGTCATATAATACTATCATACTCTGAACTTCCCATATTGGCAATGCCATGTGTATCTGCACACCCTACGATTCTAGAGCAACTATGGAAGGCTCCCAATATGTCCATTCCCTCTGTTCCTGTGAAATTTACCAAGGCAGCTTGCCTGGCCTGAGCCTTCAAGTCCTGACCCTTTCCTCTGCCCACACAGACCACAGGATGTATGCTGGGCTTCTGGAGCTTATTTTTCAGTGGGGGTAGGGCTGGTGTCCCTCTACTACTTCTGAACAAACAGCCTCTCTTTTCAATGGGACAGTGAGTCATAATTTTTTAATCAAATAACTCTTTGCAATAGCTGGTTTATTTTTAAGCTTCTGCCAATGTTTTCATTGCACCTAGACTCTAAAAACCCATTGAAGTGTGCTCATGAGGCCTTAGCAGGATATTGCAGCATTTGGGGCCAGAGACCTATCCTCAGAGCTCTGTCTGTACTGGAGAGATCACCATGGCAACCATGTCCAGCATTTGAGCAGTGTGGCAGATGTGGAAGAGGATGACTCAGACACTGCAGAACAACACTTAGGCGTGCTTAAGACCAGAAATATGGCTTTATGCAATGTGTCAGGAAGGCTCCTGGTAGGAAAGCCATAGTGAAACAGTCCCAGAGTCATGGATCTGGGTCTCCCAGGATTCAGCAAATGAGGCAATGGGGTCTACACTGCATATGAGGAGGCTGTGTGTATCTGTATGGAGGGGGAAGGTTTCCTGTAGACACTCTCCCACTTCACTTGAATGGTACATATGTGAAAGACAGAGTCAGCTGTTACTCACCAATGCCTCTCTCTCCTCAGTGGAGTGGTGGTCTTGATGGCTGGGGTATGCATTAGATTATCAGAAAGCTCAATACTATCATCGGAGATATTCAGACTGCTAGCCAGGAAATCTGTGAGGCTGTCACTTCGGTGCTTAAGCCTCATACTGGGAAATGCCAGCTGACTTCCCTCTATACTCAGAAACTGGGTTTCCCGGTACAACAATAATCTTTGTTTTCTTCATTTTCATAGAAATTTCTCATTACAAAATGTCTGATTATGGGCATCAACCAACAGAGAGCCTCTACTGCCAAGCCTTAACCCATGATTCAGCCAGTGTCTAAAAAAAGGTGAACAAATAAGAGAGCTGACTTATATTGTTCAAAGGAAAAGGGAGTGTCTCTTCATTAATTTTTAAATTTTTGTTCAGTGCTGGGGATCAAACCCAGAAGCCATACACAGGCTAGGTAAGCACTCTATAACTAAAGCATATACCCAGCCTTCTTTTTAATTTTTTTTTAAAGCAGAGCCTCACTAAGTTGCTCAAAGTGGCCTTGAACTCAGTTTATGCCAAAGACAGGCTTTGAATTTGTGACCATACTGCCTCAGCCTCCCAGATAGCTGGAATTGCAGGCCTGTACCACCAAGATCTCTTTATTTCTTGAACAAGAGCAAAGATTTTCTGCTTAATCAAACTTTATCTAGGCCATGAATTTTTAGAGGATCCCAGGGTTAACAAAGAACCATTGCTAAGTCAGTTTATCACCCCCTCTCCACTCTGCAGTGTCTAATGATCCTCCATTTCAGATTAGGCTCTTCTTCCTCTACCATCATGTAAATGACATCTGAGAATCCTGACCTGTTTTCAATAAGAATCCTCTTAGATAGGTTTAGTCATAATCACCTTTATTACCCATGTTTCTTGTTAGCCATTTTCCATCTATTGACATGGATCGGTATGCTTCTTAGCTACGAATTCCCTTTTACCCAAGCTGTGTTTGGGGTTGAACCCAATGTCCTTTCCAAATGTCCCTCCCCAATTTTAAGAATCCTTTGCAAAGCAATCTGGCTCTGTTTTAATAAACAGAGTTGAATAATCATTTTTCTAAAACTACCCCAAGGAGCACCAAAAGCTGTTAGCAACATTTGTGGCTGGAAAGGTGGCTCAGTAGTTAAGAGCACTGGCTGCTCTTCCAGAGGATGTTGGTTCTATTCCCAGCACCCATGCAACAGCTCACAACTATCTATAATTCTAGTTCTAGGTGATCTGACAACCTCTTTGGTCTCTGTAGGCACCAGGTATGCAAATTATGTGCAGATGTAATGTTGGCAAAAAACCCATACACATAAATTAAAATAATAAGAAAACAAGGACATGAATGAAATGCCCTGGGGGGAAATAGATAAGATCTCCTGGGTAAACTGGGAGGGATTGGGGGGGAGAGGATGGGGGATGAGAACATGAGGGAAGGAACAGGATGGTTGACTAGGGGAGAGATGGAGAGGGAGAGCAATAAAAGAGATATTTTGATAGAAGGAGCCATTATGGGGTTAGGGAGAAACCTGGTGCCAGGGAAATTCCCAGGAATCCACAGGATGACCCCAGCTAAGACCACTAGCAATCATGGAAAGAGTGCCTGAATGGACCTTCTGAATTTGTGTTATATCTGGTGCCCAATGTGGGGCATGAATTCACAAAAAAAAAGCTGCTTGCCTGTGGCCTTGCAGTCCCCGGCTCAGGCCCGAGCTATGCACAGCTGAAATCTCCACCCTGCCTGGGCCAGACTTCCTAACCTAACCTGCTGGCTAAGTTTTTGTTGCAGCCTCTCTGCAGCAAATTTGATAGGTTTTGGGGCTCCAAAAACTACAGAGTTAGCCACTTTTGCACACTTCCCCCATGAAGATGGCTGGATCTTTCACTTCTTTCCTCTCCTTATGGGTTTTGGGTTTCCTTGAGCCCCTTCCTCAGGCTGCTGCCACATTGATCTCTGAATCATTACTGTCAGAAGATTTGGTGAGTCAATTGGGATTTCTTAAAGAGAGGAATTAGTTTAAAAAGTATTTTCCCACATTAAAAAATGAGAAACATTTTTATAATGGTGGGGGATTGGTCTCTGTTTGATAATACAATAACAACTGATGGCTTAAAAATGGAACAATTAAATGAGAGGATAATTAATGTTGATGGGATAGATGTAATGTCAATTATAAATATTATTTGTTTCATCATTTAAAAAGTTGGTTAATATGAGTGTCAAGATAAAGGTTTTAGAAAAACTTGTTAAAACAGATCATAGAGATATATAGACCCAGACAGAAGAATTTAAAGGAGAATCAATCTTAACATTGCATTTTAAGGTTAGAGAGAAACAGCCTAAGGCTTTCAAACAGCCAACCTTAATCTATCCAGCAACCTTACAGGAACTACCCAGTAACAGATATTCTCAAGGCTGTGTAAGAGCTGACTGGACTCCTGTGCAACTGTTAGACTTGAGGAGATTCAAAGAAGCAATAGTCTCATATGTCATCCACTCATCTTTCATGAAGCAGATGTTAAACTCATGGTCAACTTGTAATAGAATTATCCATCAAGACTGGAGATTTTGTTACAGCAATTTTGGAGGATGCTCCCCAATTACAATGGAGGACCTGGTGGGAAAATGAGGCTAAGACCATTGAACAATGAAGTAGGGCTAGAGGTATCAACAACTTCTTGGAGAAGACAATTATGCTAATATGCAAAGACAATCTTTATATGATAACCACACCCTGGCTTTATGCCACATGGAAGCCTTGAATACTAGGGCAGAATTGAAGAAGTAGGGAAGAAAATTGAGTCATTTACTAAAGTTATACAGGGTCCAAAAGAAACCTTCACTGATTTTTTTTTTACAAAGACTGACTTCAGCTGCAAGTAGAAAGATACCAAATTCAGAAGCTAGACCAGTAATAATTGGATCTCTGGCTTTTGAAAATGCTAATGTACAATGCAAAAGGGTAACTAGACTGTTAAAGGCAAGATCAGCACCCTTGGAAGAATGGATCCGAGATACAATAAATATTGAATCTCATGATCATGATGATGCTTGTATAGGAAAGGTGATTTCCTAAAGGTTTGAAGAAAAATAGTAATGTCAAATGTCCCTAAGAAGGAACTATAAAAAGGATGTTTCTAGAAACAATGTTTTTTCAAGGAATAATTCCAACAGAATGCCCCTCTCCTCTGGATTATGCAGAAGGTGTGGCAAAGGCAGACATTGGACTAACAAATATAGATCAACAATGGACAGACAAGGTAATACTTTGCCTTTGCTATTGGGAAACTCCCTGAGGGGCTTCTTGCAGGCCCCCATGTCAAAGTCTGTTCAGTCCTTTTCTGTTATTGTGGAAGAAACTCCTTCTCAGAGCAATTAAAGAACCTAATGCATATTGTAAAAAAACCATACTGCTCTGGATGATAGAACAGCTATAAAAGAGAAAACAAAAAATTCAGGAGAAACCATAAATCAAAATTGATAAAGATTAGATTTGGAAACTCCCCAAAGTTAGGGTTGGGGAAGGAATTTGTTGTTGTCATTCCAGAAAAAGAAAAACAACCATCTTGAGGAATTGAAAGACCTTTGGACATATAAGTATCCAAAAAAGAAGGAAGAACTACCCAGAAAAAAACTACCAA